CGGTACTCTTCCTTTTGTTTCTTGCAATCTTATCTTTTATTCTCAAGCATAATGCATAGTTGTTTCAATGGCATCAAGTTATTAAGACTTTAGTTTTAGTATTATGTTGATTTTATTTTGAAATTTATCTTATTATAATAGAGACCACATGTAAGTGATCTTTTGGTAAAAAAAAAGGGTGAACAAAAAAAAATAAAATAAAAAATTCTCTAGTAAAAAATCACATAGGTCTTTCTTCCGCTATCTAGCCTCCATGAATTGTGTACTCCTTGAGAATCTCTTAGCTTGCCGACTTTTGCATCAATGTGCATAACAATAACAAAAACATTAGGATAAGTGAGCTCAATGGTCCATCATCCAATAACTTATGATACCATAAAGATGCTTTAACTCGCCTGCCTGTGCACCATCTCACATTCCTCGTAACAATCACTTTACAACCCCAAATTCTTTTCTAAATCTGTGAAGCATTCGAAGGTCTTCTATCCCTATGAACCCTTCGAAAAAAACATTGTAAACCATATGTAGCCATGAAAACTCGCTTCCATAAATGATCCTCCTCTTGCAATGCCCTTTACCACCTCTTGGTCATAGGAGCCTTATTAACCAATTTTAATTTTCATATACCCAAGACCCCTTCCATCTTAGGAGCATATGCATTATCCCAGCTCACGGGATGAAATTTTTTCTCACTCATTAGAGCCCCGAAAGAATTCCCTCGTTATTTTCTCAACTTCTTTAATAATTACCTCACTTGGCATACATAATAAAGACATTTTATAGATGGGTAAGTTAGCGGAAGACTTAGATACAATAATTCTGCCTCCTAAGAAATATATTTAGTCTTCTAAATATTCAATTTCATATTGTTTGTCTACGAAAACAATGTGAAATTGTTTTCTTACGAAGGATTCCAATACTTTTTTGATAATGGGTAATGTTGTGGTGTCCCACTAAAATCTATGTTAGGGCCAACAATGGGTTGTGCTAGCTTTGGCCCTAACTACCCTAGGGCCAGCCCATGCTCGAGTGGGATGGCCCTAACCTCTTTAGGTTTTTAAGGCCATGTTGACTGGGCCAGGTCAGGCCACCTTGCCCATTTCCAGCACTAATCTATGTTAGAGATATATATGGATCCAAAATTTTAAAGGCAAATAATCATGACCCATTAGAAATTTGTAAAGATATTTAAATTTAAAAATGATAATATTGATTTTTGTTTTTGCACCATTTATCTTGCTTCTTCCAAAGCACTCGATCTGTTCTTTATGCTCCAAACAGATGGATATATTGAATTGTATTTAAATACATAAGATTCTTAAGTGAATTTATAGTTCAGGAGCTCGGATTGGGTTTTCCTCTAGACTGGTGATGCAAAAATTGCATTCTCGATTGGGGATCGCTTGTTTTGGACTGGAAACAATTAGGACTAGTCCGGTTCCCACGAAGTATTCATACTAACTGATCCTTTTTTAAAATAAATTATATTTTGCTTTTCTAGATATATTCCAATTTTTAAAACTCCTAGGAACTTTTATATTTTTAGTTAATATTTTCCTGAATTGTTGATCTGACCAACATCCTCGCCATCCAACTGGGATATATGGGTGGACGATCTATCGTATCAATCCACTTTTTTAAGCATTGTTGTAGATTAACTTCAAATAGTTTATTGTCACGCCCCAATGATTTTGCCGGGCATTGTGCTAGCAATGCCTAATACACTATGTACATAACTATTGTTTTTGTCGATTAGGCCTGGAAGGTTCTAAAAAACTCTAGAGCGTTCATGAGGATTCTAATAGGCTTCTAGAGGGAAAAATTGTACGGAGTGGTTTAGAACTATGTTAAAGCTAGATGGTTCTTAGCCATGGGATATATAACATGTAGCTTCATCATAACCGTTGGTCGTAAGGCCTTGAGCCTATATAAAGGGAGGACCCCACATTTGTATCAAGCCTCAATGTGTTAGGAACTCATACCTTGTAAAGCATTATTGAATTATAGTGGATTTATAAGGTTATTGGTAGCCAACTCGTGGGTCCCTCCCTTGTAGTGTGCTTGGCTTCTATATATGTGTATGTGATGCATACTTGTGGGTTAAGCTAGTGTATGAGATGGTGCACACTGATACTAAGCTTGCTTGTGCACGGTTTTGCTCATGGTGGGAAGGATGACTCGTCCTTGACGGACTAAAGAATGAGTACCGTACAATCAAAGTGTGGGGCTTTAATTAGGGCCATAACAAATGATATCAGAGCCAAGGTTCGAGGGAACCGTTAGGCTTGCTTGTGGGATCTACGTTTCATGTGGGTTGTTGATCACATGGGCTTAGAGTGTGGGATGTTATGGCTTTTGAGGTGACTAAGGACAACCAGGCTGGTGGGCAAGGTCGTGGCAACACCAGCAAGAAGGAAGGAAATAGGGAAGTCCCAATGCCTCAGCTGCCATGGAGAAACAATTCGCACGGCTAGAGCTAGCCATAGGCGATGGGCAAGACGAATTTCAGGAGATTGATCGGAGCATTGGAGGCATCGTAGCTGGGCTTGAGGACCTTAGGATTGACATGTTGCTGAACCTTAATGAGGTGGCAGACACAAATAACAAAAAAGTGAGGGCAGCCTTTGAGAAAAAAGTGATGGTTGTGCTATCCAAGCTGCAGGATCAAGTAGATGAGTTGAAGGGCAACTTGGCCCGGTGCAAGAGGGCTGTAAACAACGGGGGTGGCGTACTTTCGAAGCTCCTAAGGTATATGTGCCTGAACCCAAAACCTTTAATGGATCTAGGATGCTCAGTGAGTTGGATAATTTATTGTGACAGCTAAAGAGATACTTTGAGGCCATGTCCGTGGTGGTAAAAGCACCAAGGTGCATACCACACAGATATAGCCACTTTGTGGTGACGAAGGCGCCATGTCGGAGCTGCACCATCAATACATGAGATGACTTTAAGAGGGAACGAGTCCTGGGCTTCAATTAGGGC